TTGGTTCTTTTGGCAGCACATGGCACTTTCAATATTCTCCTCCAACACCATAACTCAAAAGCATCAATTCTTCTAAGGACTTCCTTATTCACTGCCCAGCTTTCACATGCATATGAGGTCATTGAAAATACCATGGTTTGGTTCAGGTACACCTTAGTCCTCAAGCTGACATCTTTGCTTTTCAACACTTTAAAAAGGTCTTGTGCAGCATATTTGCCTAATGCAATATGTCGTTTGATTTCTTGACTGCTGCTTCCATGAGTGTTAATAGTTGATCCAAGAAGAACAAAGTCCTTGACAACTTCAGTCTTTTCTCCATTGATAAGAATATTGTTTACTGGTCCAGTGGTGAGGATTTGTGTTTTATTTACATATGGGATCTTTTTTTTTTTTTTTTGCACAATAGAATTTTTTTTTTAATGGTTAGATAAATTTTATTACATCAAAAAGATCAACAATAGGTTTTAGGAATCACCGGGATTTGTTTCCATAGCTGGATAGCTTTTATATCTTACTCAGCAGCCTGTTGGACAGTTCCTTTTTCAGACACATAGATGCCATCCAAAAATTTTCAGATATCCTTGCTTTTAACTGTTGTGGCTTGCTGAATTAAAGCAGCTGAATATGATACAAGTTCAATGTCATTTCCTTCAAGAATTAATTCATCTTTCTGACCTTGAGATGCTGAACAAGCAACACCTGCTCTTATCCGAACCCTGTGAATGTATTTTTCACCCAAGAAGCTTCGGATTTCAACAAGAGACCCACTCTCTTGGATAACAATGTTGATGGGGAAGTAAGCATACACAGACCTCATCTTGTAATGGAAGCCCAGTGTAACACCCTTGATCATATTCTGCACATGACTACAGATGGTGCGGATTGTAGCCAGTTCCTTGCTGTTTCCCCCATTTGTCAACGTGAAGCCTCTTCTTTTTCTTCCCCAGGGGCTGGGCTCCACATTGATGTGGTTGAAGTCCCTCTGCAGGGTTCCCTGGGGATCCTTCACGATGACTATGCAGCCTTTCAGACCAATGTCAATGTTCTCTGGTATGTCGACAGTCTGGTTGCTGAGAATGGTCTTCATTCTTGCAGTGGATGTGGCAAAGAAAGCTTGATGTATCCTGAGTGAGCAACTTACTTGTTCTTGTAGTAATCAGTTGGTCTGCCTATATTGTTTTGTATTTTTCCTGTTGGTCTTCCTTTCAAGAAGTATCTTCTGTTCTTCTAGCCACTCCAGGCTGGTCCGCCCATCCTTTCAAGTGGAAATTTCCCACCTCTGAAGATTCTGGATGCTGTTCAGGATTCCACCTATAGTCTTATGTAATGCAGAGGCTCCGTAGGAAGCCTCCTTCACTGGGCATGTTGTCGCCCCTATATATGGAATCTTTTAAAAGACTTTTCTCTCATCCATTGAAATGATCCCATGCATTTTTTCTCCTTTATTATGCTATTATGGTGCAAATCAATGTTGCATTCCTGAAATACAAGTACTTGGTCATAATGTACTAGAGTCTACATGCTAATATTTTTCAAAGACATTTTGTATCTGTATTCATAAAGAATATCAGTCTTTTTCTTATCTTATAATGTCTCTTTCAGGTTTTGGTAGCATAAAATAGACTGACTTCACACAATGATTGAGTAGTCTTCTTTCATCTGAAGTCTGAAAGACTTTGTATAGAACTGGTATTATTTCTTTCATAAATATTTCTTAGAAGTCAACAATCTGTGTGGGTCTAGATGTTTCCTGTGTCTAGATCTTTAACTATGAATTTAATTTTTAACAAATATGTGTCTATTTAGATTTTGTATTCTTGTATCTTTTGGGGAAAATATGTATTTTAAGAACTATATTTCATCTATGTTGTGAGCATATATGCTTGAGTACAAGAACTGACTTCTTTACAGATGAGTGATGGTTCTCCTCTTCATCCACAAACGTGTGGCTCTGCCTTGGGGTGAAGCATCCTGGGTATCCTGAGACTTCTTACAGCAAGGGAGAAGATATTGAAATCCTCCATGGGTGTTTCAAGAGATTTCCTAATCAAGTGCTTTCATTTTAATACAAATTTCTTTACTATCCCACTTGTTATCGGAAAGCTTAGTTTTAGTATCATGTAATTACTCAAGAATTTTGTATTCACAGGCTTTGTGGTACCCAGAAAGATAGGAAATCCCTAACAAAATTATGCAATAGCTGTTTCTCTGCTGCAGGGTTGAGCACTTAGAGGAAACAGAATATAAATTAGTTTAGTCTCAACCCCTCAGGAAGCTCATAGTCTCTTAGGAAGAGTAAGGCATGGCATAGTCCAATGGAGAATAAGAAACATAGCTGAAAAATCTGGAAAGAATTCTAGGCAGTAAGAACCACTGTGAAAAGGCAAAGAGATTGAAAGACACAGAGAAAAAGTTTCAGAGACACTGAACAGACACTGAGACATATTGTCATAGTGAAAAAGCTGTCAGAAGGGTGTGGGGTAGACCGAGACAGAACCTTGACAGTGACTACAAAAGACTTCTGGAATAACTCTTTGGTCATATGCCTTAAGATCAGTAAAACCAGGAGTTTGGCTGACATTGACCACAGTGTTGTTGTTTTAAATAACTCTCATGTTCAAGTACTGGACTCCTGGTGTAGCGCTGTAGGACTGCTAACTATTAGATTGGTGGTTCAAACCTATCAGCCGCTCCTTGGAAACCCTATACAGAGTCATTATGATTTGAGACTGACTCAACAGCAATTAAAAACAACAACAACATGTCCAAGAATCACAATCAGCCAACGCCCCATTAAAAGTTTTGAAGACACAATTCACCTTCACAAAGGATAGCATCTTCAGTTCATTTTCCTCCCCCGCTAAATCACCTGAGGGAGAAGGAAACCAAAGGTGAGGACTCTAAGGAGGCTCTTTGTAGTGAAGGAGGCAGCATCTGTACCTGGAGTTAGGGTCCTCACCATTGGCCATATCTTATATATAACCTTGAGCAAGGCATGTAACCTCTCTGGGTCTCAGTCATCCCTTATTAAGGTTGAGAGAAAGAGCTAACTGATTCCCTCACCTTGAACCATGACACCTAGTCATCTGTGAAGATTGGAAAGGAGATAAATAGAGTGAACCAAAATGCTGGGAGCTGCAAATAAAGAATAGAACAACAAAGGGTAGATGGGTTACCTGACAGTCACAGTAGAGGTTTCTTACATGAAACAAAATGAGATGGGATTAGAGAAATCAATCAGAATTCAATAAATCTACTGAACATAGATGTGTTTAATA